TCAAACCAAGGAAAAAGTGGATGCAGAAGGACATAATAGATATGATGTTGGAAAGAAGGAAATATAGAAACAAGGACGATGAAAATAGTATTAAAAGTTATAGGAAACTGACAAATAAGATAACTTTAAAATGTAGAGAGTACAAACAGAAAAATATGGAAAAAGACTGTGAAATGATTGATCATTGTATGAAACATGGCAGGGTGGATAAAGCATACAATATTATAAGGAATTTAAGTAGAAAGAATAAAACAAAATCCACAGCTATACTGGATGAGACAGGGTATTGATAAATAATAAGGAAATAATGGATAGATGGAGGAGATACGTTGAGACACTATATGGAGGAATAGGATTAACCATGGACGATATTGAAAGCGAGGAGGACGTGGAACTGGACAGTTTGGGACCAGAATTAATAAGAAAGGAATTTGACATCGCATTAAGGAGCATCCAGAATGGAAAAGCAGTAGGCAATGATGGAATGAATATAGAGTTGATAAAGTATGCAAGTGCTGACATAAAGGAAAAATCTTTGAAATCACAAACCTTATGTACATTACGGGCAAGATCCCAACCGATTTCCAAATGACCAAGACAATAACCATACCCAAGAAGAGTAATACACTGAAATGCGAGGAACATAGGACAATTAGTTTAATATCTCAGGCTTCAAAAATAATACTCAAAATAGTACAGAATAGGATCAGGGGGAGTATTGAAAACAACCTAAGTAAAGACCAATATGGATTCAGAAATAATAGGGGCACAAGGGAGGCAATTTTGGCATTAAGACTTATAATAGACAGAAGATTAGATTTAAATTTAAATACAAATATAGCATTTATCGATCTGGAAAAGGCATTCGATAAGGTTGATTGGCAGAAAATGATGGAAGCGTTGAAAGGGATTGGATTGGACTTCAGGGATAGGAGAATAATATACGAACTTTACAACAACCAGGAAACTATAATTGAAATAGGAAATGAAAGGGGAAAGGCTAGCATAAGGCAGAGGGTAAGACAGGGATGCTCACTTTCACCACTAATATTTAACATTTTTATCGAAGGAGCTATAAGTAAAATTGTAGAAAGTTCAAAAAAAGGAGTTAAATTCAACGGGGAAGTCATAAAATTTGTCAGATATGCAGACGACATAGCAGCAGTGGCAGAGACACCGGAGGACTTAGAAGATATCCTGAAGACCATGGATAGTACCTTTAAAGAATTTTCTCTTAATATAAATGTCAAAAAGACAAAAATTATGACAACCTCTAAATTCGGAATAGATTTTGCAAGACCTATAACAATAGATAATACAATATTAGAGACAGTTAATAAATTCAGGTACTTAGGAAGCCTTATCACATCAGACTCGAGATGCACACCAGACATAAAAGCTAGAATAGCACTAGCAAAGCAAAATTTCCTCAATATGAAACAGATCTTTTCATCAAAAATTTCAAAAGAGATTCGGAAGAAATTTATAAAGACATACTGTTGGAGTATTGCCCTGTATGGATGTGAGACGTGGACTATGACGCAAAGAGACAGAGCAATATTGGAAGCATTTGAGATGTGGTGCTGGCGAAGGATGGAAAGAATTAGTTGGACAGAGAAATTAACAAATGAAAGGGTATTGGACATTGTGGATGAACGGAGAACTTTGCTCGACACACTAGAGAATAGAAGGGGAAGAATGTTTGGCCACCTTGTACGACACGACGAATTCATAAAAACCATCATAGAGGGAAAAGTGGAAGGAAAGAGAGGAAGGGGAAGACCGAGGATAGCCTACATAAAGCAAATCAAGGAAAAGGTTGGCGTCGAGTCCTACAGGGGGCTCAAGGGGTTGGCGGAGGATAGAGGGAGATGGAGGTGAATACATAGTCTGCACCGACAAGAGCATAGCTCTTAAATTTAGAGAGAGACATCATTATAACAAACATTGAACTTACGGAGTATGGAAGTATTCTGTGGAACTTATTTTCGCGTTTTGTATACTATATATTGTTTTAAACTTTCACGGTTCTTACCATTATTAACGAGATTATTACCATGTACGGGATTGCAACATGAGTAAAATGAGTTACTCCATGATCATGGCGCTTGCAACAGTACCGAAATATCGGAGAGTCATAAAAAACAAGGTACATGGTAACAATCACATATATTCGAATGGCCATACAGAATGATATGTTCTTTCCCATAAGAGATGTGCTAGCGTTTGGTTTGCAAATTCTACTATTATCATTTCGGTTGCGATCTATATTAACAGTTGCTATTCTAATAAAATTGAAATAAAGGATCTAATGTTTGATCAGAAAACTCAGAAGCGAACAAATTCGATGATTTTCGTTCACAGTACCTACAGAATGCTATTTACAATGATGTCTTATTTATTTGAGTACTTTTACCCACTTATCGATGGTGCAAGTTGCTGCAAAGCAAACTTCGCAGTGGTCCGTCATTGGATGGGTGGCCAAAAATTTATTATCTCGAGCTCCTTCGTGCTTGGAAGTCGCGTTAAGCCGTTGGTCCTGGCTGCATCTGCAGTCGTCAGCACCCACAAATCCGCAGGTGGCCGCGGTGGTGGGTCACGGCCCAATCTCCCTATTCCATTCATGGGGAAGGTCTGTGTCCCAGCAGTGGGGATATTAATAGGCTGATGATCATCAGGCTTCGATTTGTTACGCCGTACTTTGTTCATATCAATCAAGTGTCATTGGTTATTCAATGAACAAAGACAAAACATAGAGTAGCAAATCCAAGCTTAATCTTCGTTTATAAAATACGGAATGAAAGTTTGTATGAAACTTTGTCAATTTTAAACCGATCGGGCTAAGACTTTGCATGCAGGTATAAGAAGAATCATAGATGAATGTCATTGTGTATAATACAAGCCTGAGAACAAAAACTGTAGTCTACACTTCAGCTCTACACCGAAGCAAAGCGAGGGCGGGCCGCTAGTTATCTATATATATAAAACTCAAAGGTGACTGACTGACATAGTGATATATCAACGCTCAGCCCAAACCACTGGACGGATCGGGCTGAAATTTGGCATGCAGGTAGATGTTATAACGTAGGCAACCGCTAAGAAATGATTTTGATCAATTCTACCCCCAAGGGGATAAAATAAGGAATGAAAGTTTGTATGAAACTTTGTCAATTTTAAACTGATCGGACTGAGACTTTGCATGCAGGTATAAGAAGAATCATAGATGAATGTCATTGTGTATAATACAAGCCTGAGAACAAAAACTGTAGTCTACACTTCAGCTCTTCACCGAAGCGAAGCGAGGGCGGGTCGCTAGTTTGTCATAAAATTAAAAGTAGCACATCGTATGGGGCTTGATTATTATTATATATATATATTTAAAGTAAACATATTTAATCGAGTTTCAACGGTATAGATGCAATGGTTTATTTAATTATGGATGTATCGCATCTTTTACAGGATGGGTCGTCTGAATCATGATGATGCGAAACGTCAATAAATAAATAAATAAATGTATTTATACCGTGAGGAGCTTGATGGCGCGGGTGGTAAACGCGTTCGGCTGCGATCGTTGAAGTTAAGCAACTTTCGCAGTGGTCGGTCATTGGATGGGTGACCAAAAACCTTCTATCTCGAGTTCCTTCGTGCTTCGGAAGGCACGTTAAGCCGTTGGTACCAGCTGCATCTGCAGTCGTTAGCACCCGCCAATCCGCACTGGGTCCGCGTGGTGAGTCATGGCCCATTCTCCCTATTCCATCCATAGGGAAGGCCTGTGCCCCAGCAGTAGGGACATTAATAGGCTGATGATAATGATGATTTACACCGTTGAAATTTGTTTAATATGATGAGTGGCGTGCGTGAAAACCTAAGAAATTAAATAAATATTTAATCGTTCATAATAAAAGCTCACACATAGAAGTACATAAGGAGACTTAAGATGATAATGATAAATTCGTATCGCAAAGTAGATCTATGAAGCGAAAATATCAAAACATAATACTCAGGTTCTACCGTCATATTCATGTCAATTCAATCTTGTTTATCATGGACGTAAAACTTTGACGAGGCAAAAGTTTATATTAATTACCATTCAATCCTGTTCTACCATCCTATAAAATTGTAACAAGATTGAATCGTTATTGAGTGAACACGTTTTTTTAATTACATAAATTAATCATCTGCTTTTATTATATCCACTTAACGTACACCTTAATTTATTTCATGTAAATATTTAATAAATATCAAAAATCATATTAAAAAATTCAATATCGTTTATTCAGTCTAGGATGTTACAAGCACTTGTGAATGTCGATGTGAATGTCTGATATTATTATTGGTTCAACTATAAATTTTTTAATAGTTATAATCATTTGGAATGAAGTAACAACATAATGAAACTCCCCAATGAACTTAGACCCAAGTAATAGTTAAGTAACAAATTTTGATTAAATAAATACTTAAATGATGATTTTGTAGTGCCGAATCTGTTACGAATAAGCTATGGCAATTTCTATGCTAATTTGATAAGCAATATGCGCCTTGTTTTTTTCTAAAATATCAGCGCAAAATGTCATAAGAACTTTTTACTCATAAGAATATTTTGTGTTAATAAAATCCAGAAATATGGTTCAGAACAATATAATAATGCGCTGACCCCAAATTTGTTGCTAAACGAAAGTGATTCAGAAAAAATACAATATGCCAATGGAAGAGACACTTTTTTTGTCATAACATTATCATAGGAGTAGTTTTGACGACCTCCATGGCCGAGTGGTTTCTACGCCGGGTTTCATGGTGTCGCCGACTCGAGAGGTCGAATCCCGGTGGGGGCAGATGTTTGTGTGATGAATACGAGCATTTGTACTCCAGTCATGGATGTTTAATATGTAATTCTACTTATATATGTACAGTATATGTATTCTATCCGTTACCCTAGTATCCCATAACACAAGCCTTATAGTGCTTACTTTGAGGCTAGGCTAATTGGTGTGTGTGTTGGATATTTTTTTTTAACTATTTTTAAATATACGTATGTAAATAAGAACAGACAAATTCTTCGCGTACAACTACAACGCTTCATTTACAGAAACTGTATGAGAGTTATTGTTGATGTTAATTTTTTTGCTTTGCCATGAAAATAAATAGAAAAGTTGATTAGTATACAATTTTTTTTTCTCGAAAATATAGTTGGCTTATTCTAAAAATATTAAAACTTTTCGATTGCGTTGATATTAATAATAATAATTATAATATAGCCTCTTTATTTCCATAATGAACAAGTAATAAATATCATTGAATTATTCATAAGGACATGGGCATGAAATAATAAAATATTACAACAATTAATACTATAAATTAGATTACAATTAGCATTTTAAAATTTTCATTTCATACAATTGTCAAATAATAATAATAATAAAATTCAAATTCTAAATGATAATTGAATGTCAAAGTAATTAATAATTGAATGTCATTATGGACCCCTCAACGAGTAAAGGCTTCCTCCATTTTGCTCCACGTCTGTCTGTCCTTTGCTTTTGTAGTCCAATTTTCACCAGCCTTTCTTATTACTTTGATATTATTATGTATAAATATATTACAAAAGCAATAATTTCAAAAACGCACAAAATGTTGTTTATATTTTTTCGATGAGTACATGATCAATTCTGTTGTGTTAGATCCTAGAGCAAACAACCGAGACTAACACACCGTTTATTGGGTCGCTCACTAATCTGAATAGCGTGTAAAGATCATAAAACCACGTAACCGGACATGTCACAGAGAACCTTTACCGGCACCGCTGCTGGCCGAAGATGTATCTAAGTTCAAATGTCACCGCGCGTCCTTGCGCATCGCGCGGGCGCACTATAAATGCCGGGTCCCGCTTCGAAACGGCATCAGTCGCTCGATTGACTTCTCATCTTCAACCCGGTCAAACAAAAAACCACCAACAACAAAAATGAAATCGGTACGTGATTTCATGGATTGTGCATCTTGATTACCTATTGGGATTACTTCCATGGCCTCATCGTCAATAGTTTTATTGTGTTCAGAGCTTCAGTGGATTGTCAACTAGCTTTTCATACAACGGAATTCCATTTACTAATCATTCAACAATTGTCAAGTGTTTACAATGGTGATCCTAATTCGTGTTTTTTCCTTTAGTTCATCGTTCTCGCCCTCTTCGTCGCCGCCGCCCTCGCCGGCCCCGTCAGCCATAGCTCCGACGCCGACGCGCAGGTAGTCCGCTACGATAGCGACAACATTGGAGTTGGTGGATACAACTATGCGTAAGTCATCTATTACTTCAGAAGATACTATTGTACTCTTAACATTAATAAAATCTCGTTCTTTGTTTGTATTATCAGTTTTAACGATTTGATCAAAACCATTTTTTATTTTCCCAACAGCGTGGAAACCTCCAACGGTATCTCCGCCCAGGAGCAAGGTCAGCTGAAGAACGCCGGCTCTGAGAACGAAGCCATCGAGGTCCGCGGCCAGTTCTCCTACACCGGCCCCGACGGCGTCGTCTACACCGTCACCTACGTCGCCGACGAGAACGGCTTCCAGCCCCAGGGCGCTCACCTCCCCGTCGCTCCCTAAGTCTCCCACCGATCCCATAACATCTAGTCCAAAAATACTCATTTCCCCAATCCTTCCCCTTGTTAAGCCATCCAAGCGATCTGTGATATGATCCGTTGTTAATAAAACGATTTAAGTTTTAGTAAAATACTTCTGAAGTTTAATTTACTCACTGCCATGTTATATATTAAAAGTCAAATAAGTAACGCGCAAGCGTTGAATCTTACACATTTTCCATTTCTGAATGACCAAACACGCATCAATACCTGACCATAAAACAAGAATTGGATCGAGCGCTCATTCAAATGCATTCATTAGAATAAATAATCGCAAGATGACACAAGGGCATCTTAAAAGGTCTCGTAAAATTCCAGAATTAAATGGCAGCTATTATGTGTGGTGCTTAGATTACGCAACTTACATATAAGGTGAATACAAATGACAGGGTTCGTCTAACAGATATGAAACGATCAGAAACGAAGGTTGAACACATTAGGCGCCTATTTCATATATACCATTAACACTGATACATTCAGATTTTGTTAAAATGACAATGGATCAACAATTATTTTCGTAATATTTGGACTAATACTGAGTGTTTTATCATCGGCATTTTCTTTAAAAGGCTAATCGAATTTGGTTAGAACATCATAAAATGTTAAAATGCTAATTTACAGTTTAGATGGCCTTCCAATTCAGTTGGGTGTGCTCCTCATTATAATTCTGATGTTAGTATCGTTGGAATCCTTAATTTTTGTTACCTATTTGAAGCGCTGACATACTTGGACATCATTTACGACATCCGTTGACATTTGACAGTTTGGCTTTACTAGTTTTTATCGCCTAGAATTGATTTGCAATATTAAATCAAATTATTTATAGGAGGAAGAAGACAAAATTAAAAAAAATATATATAATTTAATAATGTTTTACTTTAAATTATTAGATAGTATTATGTAAGTGTATCTTCACGAGACAAAGTTCTTATATAAAGAGAGGGAAGGTGACGCCAGAAAATTTAATTAAAAAGAAATATAATATAAACTTTAGCCTTCTTAAATTACATGAAAAAAAGAGACATTTTATTTAAACAAATAGAGCTTGATCGAAAAATTACGAGCCTACATCTATTTATATCTATATAGGTTATTCTATATTATTCACAGCTATGATTTAGTGCAATTTTGGAAGGTCGAGTTTTTTTCGATCTACCTAAACAATATTTATACTTATTATTAGTTATCAAAGCATATAAAAAAGGTAGCATAACACTAACTATCGTTTAGTTTAATCAGTAAAATTTACACGAAACCGAATACATTAATGAAATTTGTTTAAATTAAATAACAACGTTACTATTTTTGGTCATTTGATATAACGTCGATGAATATTCAGCAATCGATTTTAAATCGAATCCATGTTCTCCTTTTGATATGCGTACAAGGAAATTTATGAATTATGGATAACTGCTGTGCCAACACAATCATACATCTATTTTGTACTTTCGTGACCTGCGCAGTTGACGGACTTTTGTCTGCAGAGGACTTGTTACGGACTCAAGGCACTGACCAATTCTTTTTCTTCGTTAATCAGGTAGATTATCAAAAAGTATTGGACACGTATTTTTTCTTTTTCCACATAATATAAACATTGCAGAGATATATTGATTTGAAACGTCGCATGACTTCACGTTTTGGTACACTTTTAAGTGAAATATCACTCAAAACCTACTCCCAAAATTTGACGCGCTATAACTTTGTCATTTTTTGGTTGATTGCCCAAAGAAAAAATACGTGTCCATTATTTTTTGATCATCTAACTGACGGACTAAATAGAATTTCGTTTACTGTACCCCGTCCTCCCTATTGTTGCTTGTAAATTTAGTGAAGCACATAGCAATATTGTTTGCGTCATAAAATATTGCGCGTGGCTTTGAAAGACTATGGGTGTGAAAGTGACGCCCATTGGAATAAAGTTTTCGATATTTTTTAACGTGTCTAATGATTTCAACGGTCTTTAGAAATAGAAATATAGATTGAAATATAGAGTTTATAATACATTGTTTTAAATTTTCATGGTCACTAACATTATAGCTATTGACGGGATTGTTACCATGTTCCTTGTTTTTTATGAGTCTCAGATATTTCGGCACTGTTGCAAGCGCCATGATCACGGAGTTAATCCGCCGTGTTACCATGTAACAAATCCCGTTAATAGTTATAATAATAGAGTTTTTAATCCTAATAATCTCGTATAGCTAAACGGTCCTCACGCTTTATTAAGATGCATAACAATAAGAGTTTCCCCATACATATTTTTTTCAATTTCACCCATTTAAATTTGCTCGATATTTTCGAGACCAAAATCAAGTTGATCATGTAGATAACCACGTTTGCATTTAAAACATTCAAATATATGACAGAGCTGGTGCGGCTTGCGAAGCGGCTGAAAAAGCTAAGGCATGCACACAGGGGTCTAGGCTCCGAATATGATGTTGTCGCATTCGGTGTCGAGACCCTTGGTCCGTGGGGTCCTAGCGCTGTGAGGCTTTTTAAGGAAATAGCAAAAAGGTTGGTCGACATCACAGGAGACCGAAGAGCTGGCGGCTACCTCGGACACAGAATTAGTCTAGCTATTCAAAGGGGGAACGCTGCCAGTATCTTTGGAACCTTGCCTAAAGGTACTCCTTTTAATAATGTATTTAGTGATAATATATTTTAAGGTTTTTAGTTATAAATATCTTACTATTTGTTCTTTAGTTAAATTATTAATATATGACATGGTTTATTAAATTGATTTAATATTATTATAATTGTATTTTTTTTATCCCGTTGATGTGCTTAAAATATTTTGGTGGAACGCTGGTGAAAAAAAGAATATTATATTTCAATGCAAGCGCAAGACGAGCAGCCTAACTACTATTGACGTATTGAGAAAAAAATATCACGAGGTGACCTCATGACTCGAAATATTTGGAATGTACATAAATATGAATTAATTATCGGTTCCAAACATATTTGCCGTTTGGAGGTTTTTGTTTTTTAACATTTTCAGATGCTTAATGTATAGGTCAAGAGCAGCCTCGTTAATCTTAAAGAGAGGGCAGGTGACGCCAGAAAATTTAATTAAAAAGAAATATAATATATACTTTAGCCTTCGCATATACACTAAAAAAATTGCATTCCCATGGCCGCACTTAGAGACGTTAATTAAATTCAATGTTATGTTTTTATTTATTTTTTAGCATTTAACTGCTAGATGTTTAAATCTATAGAAAAGTTTACAAAAAAAAATCCACGCGGACAAGGCTTTTTTCTAGTAAACTTTTTTATAGATTTAAACATCTAGCAGTTAAATGCTTAAAAATAAATAAAAACATAACTATAATTGCTATTTCTTCTTTCAAATGTTTAATACTTGAAAAAGTATTCATTTGACATTGTGGGTTACCTACAATGCGAAGAGATGGAGCTGCCTTGCAGCTTAAGGATGGGAAAATTTCGACGCGGCGAATAGGGCCGTGGTAGCATAATGGTTAGTGCATCCGGGCGGTTTCCGGTTCGAGTCCCGTCCGCTGCCTGGTCCGCGTGGATTTTTTTCTAGTAAACTTTTCTATAGATTTAAATTTAATGATTTCATTATTGTCATGACCATGATCCCATAGGGAAGGCCTGTGTTTTTTTTGAGTGTGTATTCTGTTAGTCGCAGATGACCTTTACAGCGTCACCGGGTTTGGGGACGACGAGATCCTAAGGGGACCTCAAGCCGTGAATTGGCGAGTGCCTCTAGAGGTATTCCAGGCGCTAATTTAATTCCCACGGGGGAAGACTCCCCCCATTAGACCCTGAGAATTAGAACCTGAGGGGAAGGCCAGTGCATCAGCATCAGCACTTTTATAGGCTAATGGCAGTGACTAAGGTTCTAGGGATCCACGGGGTAGGGGATTGGTTCAAGGTAGGCAACGGCGTGAATAATATTTTTTGTATCGCAAGCATCTATAGCAGTGTTTCCTAACCTTTCCAATACTGCTACCCCTGTGACCTAGTAGTAAAATAGATTTTACCCCGAATTTAAAGTGTTATCATCAGTCCAAGAAATTCCAATTTGGCCGCTACATCTTCGTCTTTACTAATGTCATCATCAGGAGAGAATCTTGCCCCGCTTCCCTAACTCAGCACCCCGCGGGCTCACTAGCAAGAAGGACCGCATGCTCTATTTAGTACTATTATTTAGATTTGACCAAATAATTAGGTTCTTTGTTACCCCCGCTGATTTACCCCCGGAGGGGTAATTACCCCCAGGTTCGGAACCCAGGAAGTATAAGCAGTTATAAAAGAAGCCGAACAGAGAGTTTGACAAGAATAGAGTTAGGACGGCGTGGCATAGATAAAATATAGATTTTTACAATCAAAGAGTCTGTATTCGACACTATGGTTACCATCATGCGGGCCATATGCTAATTTCATCATCATCATCAGCCTAGTAATGTCCCCACTTCCCTATGGATGGAATAGGTAGATTGGGCACTGACCCACCACGCAGTCTCAGTGTAGATTGGTGAGTGCTAACGACTGCAGATGCATCCGGGACCGACGGCTTAATGTGCCTGCCGAAGCACGGAGGAACTCGAGAAAGAAGATTTTTGGTCACCCATACCATGACCGACCACTGCGAAAGTTGCTTAACTTCAACGATCGCAGCCGAACGCGCTAACCACTTGCGCCATCGAGCTCCTCAATTGCTAATTTGCCATCCATTCAAGATAAAAAAATATAATGCTGTAAAACAAAAGATGATCGCGTTCTCTTGCTACGGCCGGCCAATTTTTTTACGATATAGCAATGATCGCAGACCCGTTTTTCCCAGTGGGCGCTTTGGGCAAATGCGCAGGGCCCTGCGATCGATAGAGGGTCCCCTCAGATCAAATACAAAGTCCCTAGTTAAATCACCAAACGGGAGTCATAGGGGGCCCATTTTCCTTATATGCCTAGGGCCTCCAATAGGTCAAAGACGACACTGAATGATCGTGTTTATGCTTTCTACTAAGACAGCGTCTTACAGGTGCACTGGCAAAAGTTAAGCACGTTTGGACTTATGT